CTAGAAGATGTTGGGAAAATGCACATGAGGATCAAAAAAATGACGAGGAACCAGAGAAAAGAGAAACTGAACAGGAGCAGCATAGATGGGAGACTAAAACAATGGGAGGAGCAGGTGTGGATGGAAGCAGCTAGAAGGGAGCTAGCAGGAGACTGACATTAGGGGGCAGCAGAGGGTAAACAAGAAATACATAAGAACTCATTAGAATATACAACCAAAAACAACTAGAACACAAAGTGGAAATGAAACCAATGAAAACTCAAACAGAAAACTAAAAATGATCCACTACCATGACAGTCTGATTTTAGCAATGAGTAGTAATTTGTTATTCAGGTTTTTAATTTCCTTTAACAGATTTTTCTTATCTCCCATGTGGTTTGTCTGAGGATGTGAAAGAGCCTGTTGGGGTGAGTATTACCGTTTTAAATTATTTTGTAAATAATCATCAAACTTATAAAAGTATTATCATGCATTTTACAGATTTAAGTTAATTTATATGAAAGTAATTCATAATATTTAAAAAGAAAAACAATGTGTTAAAATAGAAATATTCAGAGTAAATGAAATGAAGATTAGATCCTCGTTTATAAACAAACATTCAGTTCATAATTTAGATGAGTTCATTTTACATCAATTCTATCAGTTTATTTCTATAGCTCCAATTCACATTATGTCATCTCAGGTCACTTTGTAGGGACAATTCAACCAGATAATTCAGTGAAATTGGTTCAAAGTTTTCTATCTAAGGAAAACCAACTGATTGCATCGTATCTTTGGCAATCCCTCACACTAAGCATGCTCGTAGCGACAGTGGAGAAGAAAAACTCTCTTTTAACAGGAAGAAACCTCCACCAGAACCAGGCTCAGTGTGAGCGACCATCTGCTGAGGCCGACTGGGGTTCAAGGAGACAGAAGCAGACATAGAAAAAGAAGCATAGATGCAAAAGTCAACTGCCAACCGGCTGCACAGGAAGCCCCATCCAGGAAACACACAGCCAGGCAGACGAGCTCCGAGCCAGCTCCCATGTCAGAGGATGAAGAGAGCACATCCAGTTAGTCACAGTCA